TGGCCATGTGGGACTCCAACACCCTTAACCACCATGCCACCTGCTGACCCGTAAGATTAATTTTGAGTTTTTGTTTCAACTGAACTTAAACCTGATAAATTGAAATATAGTAGGTGCTTAGTACTTGGAATGAATATGTCCATGCCCATGGGTTGAATAAGCTAGTACGCAGAACTTGTCTCATGTTAGAACTCTAGTTCTCATCTGAACACCCAAACTCATACAGTAGGGCTGGCAGACAGCATAGTGGTTAAGGCACTGGACTCCCACATAGCCAACCACAGTTTGAGACCTGGACCTGGCAGCTTGCTTTCTCACTTTCCCCTTCTCTCTCTGGCCAAATTAAAATATATAATATATAGGGGACAGCAGGTGGCTTGGTGGTTAAGGTGCTAGAATTCCCACATGGCCAAGCATAGTTCAAGTCCCAGATCCAGCAGCTTGCTTTTTCACTCTCCTTCTCTCTCTCTGTCTTTCTCTGGCATGTGAAAAAATAATGAATACATAAATAAATCTTTAAAAAAATATAATAAATAGGGGAACCAGCAGTTAGCGTAAAGGCTATATTGCTGGACTCCCACGTAGTCGACCGTGGTTCGCGTCCCGGACCTGGTGGCTTAAAACTCACGCTGGGTGCGTGTGCGTGCGTGCCCAAGATCCTGAGAGGAGAATGGAGGAGAAGGGATTGTGGTGTGGCCATCCCCCCTGGGGGGTGATTTCTCGCTTTCTGTCTCTGTCTCTCTCTGTCTGTCTGGCGAGCGCACGCGCCCTATAGCAAAAACCTCTAAAAAAAAATAATAATAATAAACAGGGGGCGAGCAGGTGGCATGGTGGTTAAGGCCACTGGACTCCAACATGGCTGACCGTGGTTTGAGTTCTGGACCTGGTGGCTTGGTTTCTCACTCTCTCCACCCCTTCTCTCTCACTCTGTCCCTCTCTGGTCAAATTAAAATAAGTAAGTAAATAAGTAAAGTTAAATAAAATAATAAGTATTATTATTTTAAGTAATTATTTTTAAAAAAGAAATAGCTGGGGCTGGCAGGCGGCTTGGTGGTTAAGGGTGCTGGACTCCCACATGGCTGACTACGGTTCAAGTCCTGGACCTGGCAGCTTGCTCTCTCTCTCTCTCTAGCCCTCTC